TATGGTGGCGGCGTCGAGCAAACCTCACCCACGGCATCTGAGCCCAGCTCTACCTACGCCGCTCCAGGATCTCCTGTGATTCCGCGGTCGCCTCCCTCGCAGCCTCCGCTGACTACACCGTACGGCATGCCCCTCGACACGAGCTATACTCGAGAGGCGGATGAGCCAGTTCCGGTAGTCAAGTTCCGTCCATCTCCTGCTCGGACTGTGACGGGGTCTAGTGGTGGTCTGAACAGCGAACCTTCAGCGCCGCGTATGATTCCGTCCGTGCATGTACAGGTGTCTGGTTCTCTCTCGCCGACCATACCCAAACGGCCCGATGCGTTAGGTCGAAGCCATCCTAGTTTCGATGGCAGTCGAGGCAGCCGGTTCACGGAAAGTATCTGAACCACGCTCGCCTGGAAATGGTGGACGGCCGTTGTCGTCTTCCAACCGGTGCATATATGCTTTTTGAGTTTCTGTACATAAATCTGGAGAAGTTGTACATGGGTTCTTGGGTGAGCGTTGGAAGCTCGGTGATGACTGGCCGGCAAGGAAAGAAGGGGGGAGGCTTTGTTTGGCCAGTTCGGAGACCGCGACGGAGGAATGCTGGGTCTTTTACGTCTTGATTCTGCACTACTTGCTAGCCTGTTTTCGTTTTCTCTTTATATGGATACCCCAATTCATTTCTTTCTCATTCTGCTTATTTGAAGGGGGGCTCAATGTACATTCGCCTATTAACTTCTAATTAATGGACAATCTGACGGTATTGACTGATCTATAGGTACCTAGTAGTTCTAGATTTCTAGAGTCACCTGTTAATGGATGGCTGTCGATCGTTGCTCTGCTGGCAGATGACATAAGATGTCGTGGACCAACCAGCAGTCGGGTATTCTCAGCATTTGTCCTACTCATACTATAAAGAAATCATACACTTCCCTGGACCCCCTCCTCTCCCCAACTCATACATACATACATACATACATACCATTCATCGGAGCCAAAATGAAAGAACCTGCCCTCCCTCTTTCATCCTCCACTCTTCCTCATGCCAATCCCTCTCCCCGCCCGCTCCGGTTCCTCGTCATCGGTGCGGGATCGCGGGGAAATGCGTATGGGCGGGCGGTGACCAGCTCCACCGCGGGGATCATCCATGCTGTCGCCGAACCCCATCCCTTCAAACGTCGCCAATTCGGCCGCAACTACATCTGGGGTCCCACCAATCACCCCCAAGAGGGGCAGGAATTCGCTGACTGGCGCGACTGGCTCGCCTGGGAGGTCCGTCGTCGCGAGCTGGCCTCAAATCCCATCCGTCAACCCTCATCTACCGGAGCCGCGGCAGCAGCAGGGGTAGACGGAGTCTTCATCTGCACCCTCGACGAGACGCACGCGGAGATCATCCACGCCATCGCCCCTCTGCGCCTACACATCCTGTGCGAGAAGCCGCTCGCCCTCTCCCTGACCGACTGCCTCAGCGTCTACCGTGCCCTGCAACCCCACACCGCCACCACCATCTTCTCCATCGGCCACGTCCTGCGCTACAGCCCGCACAATATCCTCCTCCGGCGCCTGCTCCTCACCGACCGCGTCATCGGCGACATCGTGTCCCTGGAACACTGCGAGCCCGTGGGCTGGTGGCACTTCGCCCACAGCTACGTCCGCGGCAACTGGCGGCGCGAGACGCCCGCGGGCGACGGCTCGCTGCTGACCAAATCCTGCCACGACATCGATTTCATCATGTGGCTCCTCTCTGCACCCCCAGCAACAAGCACAAGCACACACACAAGCACACACACAACGACACCGCAACCGCACCACCCCCGCACCATCACCTCCACCGGCTCACTCACCCAGTTCCAAGCGCACCGCAAACCCCCGGCCGCCGGCGCCGCAACCAACTGCCTGTCCTGCCCCGCCGAACGGGACTGCAAATACAGCGCCGTGAAGATCTACGACGAGCGGCACGTGGCGCGCGGCGACCTCGACTGGCCCGTCAACATCGTGTGTCCGGACATCGAGGACGTCGTCGCGCCGTACCTTGCTCTTTCGGAAGCTTCCCCCACTTCCGTCGATCCTAACCCCAATCCCAGTCCCACAAACACAAACGTCACCTCTGAAGCAAGAGCAGCAGCGTCCGCGCACCTCCGCGCCCGTCTCCGCGCCTCCCGCCCCCTCTCCCGGAACGAACCAGGCGGTCCCCCCTCCTACGGCCACTGCGTCTACGAAGCCGACAACAACGTCTGCGATGACCAGGTCGTCACCATCAAATGGGATGATCAAGCAAATCAGCAGCAGACGGCGTCGGCCAAAACCGCCGTGTTTCATATGATCGCCCCGACGGAGCGGCAGTGCGAGCGGCGTGGCCGGGTCTACGGCACCGAGGGCGAGCTGGCGTACGACGGGCGGCGGATCGAGTACTTCCGGTTCGCGACGGGGGCCACGACCGTCATCGACGTGCCGAAGCAGCCGCCGGAGGAGGAGAAGGCGCACGGTGGCGGGGACTATGGGCTGGCGCGCGGGTTCGTGGCGGCCGTGGACGCGGTGGTGAATGGTGGCTGGGCGGCCGAGAAGGCGCAGAGCCGGTTTGTCGGGTGTACGTTGGAGGAGGCGGTGCGGAGTCATGCGGTGGTGTTTGCGGCGGAGGAGGCCAGGCGGGAGGAGAAGGTGGTGAGGTGGGCTGAGTGGTGGGAGGGGAAGTTGCGGGGGTCGCGGTGATTTCTTTTCGGTGCTGCTGATGGTTAGGGGGTACAAAGAGCCGGACTATGGTTTATGGCTTCTGATTAGTTCTTAACATAATTAATGACTGCTTATGATGATCACGAGAAAATGCTACTGCGCTGATTTATTATTTCGCTATCGCTATATTAACAACGTGCTTGATTCCGTAGGCTCGTATAGACTAAGTAATTTAGATAGTAGGTATGTGCAGATGTTTCTAGGTGCGGACATCGGGCTCCTCGCGGCCGATGAACTCCTTGAACTTGAGAAGGTCCAGGGCCAGGGCGACGTTGTCCTTGAGGTACTCGTCCGTCTTCTGGGCGAACTTGCTGGCATCGTTCTCGTGCTTCTCAATGTACAGGCGGATGGTAGCACCGCTGCTACCGGTGCCGGACAGACGGACGACGAAGCGGCTGCCATCGTCGAACTTGACGTACAGACCCTGGTTCTTGGAAACGCTGCCGTCGAGATCGGTGTAGGAGAAGTTGCCGGCGTCGGCGACCTTGCGGCCGGAGACGGTCGAGCCAATGAAGGAGTCCTTGTTGTCGACGTACTTGGCCAGAGTGGCGATGACCTGGTTGGCACCGTCGCTGTCGACGTTCTCGTAGTCGTAGCGGGTGAAGAAGGTGCGGCCGTAGGTCTGCCAGAACTCGTTCTGGATAGAGGCGATGCTGGGGGTCTCGTTGGGCTTCTGCTGGGCGACGCCGGCGATGACGTTCAACCACGCCACGATGGCCCACAGACCGTCCTTCTCGCGGATGTGGTTGCTGCCCGTACCGAAACTCTCCTCACCACAGATGGAGATCTTCTTGTTGTCGAACAGGTTGCAGAAGAACTTCCAGCCGGTGGGCACCTCGTAGCTCTGGAGACCCTGGGCCTTGGCCACGAGGTCGACGGCTCCGGAGGTGGGCATGGAGCGGGCCAGGCCGTACACGCCTTGGTTCTTGAAGTAGGGGATCAGCTTGGCGTGGTGGGCGATGATGGCCAGACTGTCACCGGGGGAGACGAAGGTGTTGGCACCGTAGATCATGTTGCGGTCACCGTCACCGTCACTGGCGGCACCGAAGTGGATGCCCTCCTTGTCGACCCGCTCCACCAGCTCGTGAGCGTAGACCAGGTTGGGGTCAGGGTGACCACCACCGAAGTCGGTCTTGGGCTCGAAGTTCATGGCGCTGCTCTCGGGCAGACCCAGCTCGCGGACAAAGATGTCCACACCGTAGGGTCCGGTGACACCGTGCATACCATCAAACAGAACCTTGAAGTCCTTGTGGGTCTGGAGGAAGTTGCGGATGAGGTCGAAGTCGAAGATCTCCTTCAGCATGGTGACGTAATCGGAGGTGGAGTGGACGACCTCGACCTCGAGCTCACCGTAGGTCTTGGTTCCGATGGAGGAGATGTCCACATCGGGAATGTCAACGTAGTTGTAGGATTTGAGGGTCTTGGAGGTCTCGTAGATCTTGTTGGTGACAGACTCGGGGGCGGGGGCTCCGTTGGTCAAGTTGTACTTGATACCGAAGTCGTTCTCGGGACCTACACGGTAAACATTGTCAGTCGCTTGATACAGGTTGTTTTTGTTCTCAGGAATGGGATTGTAACTCACCACCAGGATTGTGGCTGGCAGTCAGGAGGATACCACCGGTAGCTTGACGCTTGCGGATGAGGTTGCTAGCAGCGGGGGTACTGAGGATGCCGTTCTGGCCGACCAGCAGCTTCTTGACACCATAGGCAGCACTGATCTTAGCGATCTTCTGGATGACCTCAGTGTTGTAGTAACGACCATCACCACCAATGACGAGGAAAGCTCCCTCAGCACCCTCGGGGATAGAGAGGATGATGCTGGCAATGAAGGACTCGGAGTAGTGGGGCTGCTGGAAGACCTTGACCTTCTTACGAAGACCAGAGCTGTAGATTATTAGTTTCACTGTTTTCGAAAAACAGTAAAGGGGCAGCAGAAGGTATCACTTACGTTCCAGGCTTCTGGTCGGAGAATGGGGTGATGGAGACGGTCTGGACAGACATGATGACGTGGAGGAGGGGTAATCAAAATAGAGGGGTATATTATTTATTTAGAAAAGGTCAGGCACGAGCTGTGGGATATATACAGCTCACTGACGATTCAAATGATGGGGGAGAAAATAGAGAGAAGAGGAATGGAATAAATTGGAAGAGGAGGAGAAGGAAGAGAAGGAAGAGGAGGGGAACAGAGGGAGTAAATAAGTAAGTTGTCGCAAGAGAGAGGAGAAAGCAGGAGAAAGCAGGGTCAGGGCGAGGAGCAGCAGCGGGCGGCGGGATTGGGATTGGGATTGGGATTGGGATTGGGATTGATTGGGATTGGGTCTGGTTCTGGTTCTGGTCCCGCTCCGATGCAAGACAAAGTCTCTACTAGAACACCCCACTTCAATCCCGATTGCAATTGCGTTCGTTCATGGGTGGTGGTGGTGGTGGTGTTGACAGTTAGCAGTGTCATAATGTGGCGGTCATCAATCACTTCTCATCATCTCATCATAATGCATCTTCCCATGCAATTGTCTCGAACAATTCCCCTTCCCCTCATCTCCTACCCCTCCTCCGTACAAACGCCCGTACAAATTATAATTCTTGACCCCCTAAAAAAAAGCTTCCCTAAATAGAAGCTATTATTGTTGCCAGCTCAGCCCATTTCCCCGCCGGTCCAAAACCCACAGACCTCCCCCTTTTACTAGTAGCTTGTCTAGTACTAGTAGTTGAGCTACTAAAGCTACCAGAGGCTATCTAAACAGCCGTTCCCGATAGAAGCGCATCTCTGCGATGCTTTCCAGAATGTCCTCCCGCGCCAGATGCACCTCCTTCTTCGCAGGCACGGCCGCCAATAACTCATCCGATCCCCACCGCCGCGCCATCTCCTTCAGTGCGCTCACGTCTACAATCCGATAATGTAACCACTCCAACACGGTCCGGTACGGTCCCTTGGCCAGAAACGCCTTGTCCGCATGCACGCTGTTGCCCGCCAACAACCCCGTCCGCGGCTGCGGCACATACCGTTGAATGTACTCCAGCAACGCCGCCGCTGCCGACTCCGCACTGACGGTGGAAGCCTGCACCGCGGCCGTCAACCCGGTGCGACCGTGGGTTTCGATACACCACTCGTTCATGGACGCCAGCGTCGCGGGCGACTGATGGATGACGGTTTCGAACCCCTGCGGCTCGAGGAGCTTCAGGTCGGCATCGGTGATGTAGCAGCAGATCTGGAGGATTTGATCGGTTTCTGGGTCCAGGCCGGTCATCTAGAAGTGTCCGTCAAGAAGACAGGGTGCGTCAGCGGATGAGGCTCGTGGCTTCAAGACAACGCAGGACAGGCTGCAAAGAAGGTTCCCGAACCTCGCAGTCGATCCACACCAGGGGATCGGTGGAGCGTGTCAAGGGCATTGTATGGTTTCGGGCTCGAAGAGCTTGAACATGGAAAAGAGGCTTTTGGTAGAGCTGCTTCCGAGGGTGTAGTGAAATTGAATGAAGTGTTCGTAGAAAGGCCATGGCAGACAGCACCAGCAGCAAGTGGGCCGCCGGAGCTGCCTCAAGTCATTATTTCCGGCGGCGGAAGGCGGCGAGGTCGGCCGACTTGCCGCAATCGACTTCTCCAAATGTCCCAGCATACATTCTTTGTCCGTGGCTAACTCACTGTATAGAGGGAAACATAGTCACGTCTTACTACAATGTCTGGCCTCGATTGACACGTAATGAAGCAAATAATCATTTTCTGTGCCAAATGCTTACGATCAGTGCACGCTTAGCGCAGCAGCACAGTATGCCTCCCTACCGAGTCCCGGTGGAGGCGTGGTTTGTCAACAGAATCTCCAGCATCGTGTGTGCTGTGTGACCTGTCTCTTCCGCATTTGACTCTTGTACGACTGTGCACTCTCCTGTGAAGAATCGAGCGGGATATCTGAATCATCATCAAATGAAGTATGAGCGCCAGAAGGGATTGTCTCGCCACTTCTCAAGGGTGAATTTGCAAATCGAGACTAATTGACATCTCTTGTCATTGATTGTCAATTTTATCTGTGAAGGTCCTCTTCGCAATGGTTGTTTGCACCTATCAAAAAGAGACCTTTCCCTGAAGATGCGTCCAGCCGTAAGTCAACCCATTCCTCAGGCAGCCTTCTCATTGTAGAAGCCTCCGTACTGCTCATACCACCGCCGTACAATATCGGCACTCATGCCTGGTGCAATCACCTCGTCGCCACGCTCCAACTTCGCACTCACTTCCTCCATGAACTCTTCCACCGACAGAACACTGGGGTTCTTGTCCTTTTTATTGTCATCCGGGTCATCCCGTTCGCGGTGGAGGTCCGTTGCCACCGAAGGAGGAACGATCTCCACCACTCGCACCTTCTCAAACCCGCCTTTAGAGAGCTGTGTCCGAAGATTCATGCTCCAGAAATGGAGCCATGCCTTCGATCCGCCGTAGACGGGATTGATCACCGCAAAGGGCACGAACCCGAGCACGGAAGAGACATTGACGATGAGAGCACCGTCAGGCTTGTTCTTGAAATGCTTCAGCAACCCCAGTGTGAGATGCATGGGGCCACGGATGTTGATATCGATCTCTTGATCTGCTCGCGCCAGCACGTCTTCCGGTTCCTCTTCCACAAGCTTCAGCGGCCGCTGCACACCCGCATTGTTGACCAAGCAGTCCAGATCAGGGTGCGCGGAAGTGATCTTGGCGATGAACGAGGGGAACGTGTCGACGAGACCCGTATCTAGCACGTAGTAGGCTGCAGCGCCAATCTCGCGAGCGGACTCCTTGAGCTTGGACTCGGTGCGGCCGGCGATAATGACTTTTTTGCCCTGCGAGATGAGGTAGGAGGAGAGCGCTTTTCCGATGCCTCCGCCGCCGCCGGTAACAAGCGCGCAGCGGAAGTTCAAGCTTGGTGGAGCCATTGCACGAACTTTGTTGTTGAGATCTTGTGGAGATATATTGAAATTGCAAGAAGCTATTGCTTATCGACTGGATTATAGGATATGATTCTTGGAACCATCATGATTGAGAAGCTGAAATGAACATGATTGATCTAAAGAAGAGAAGTACTCGGAGGAGTGAAACGGAAAGTATGACGTGATGACGTAGTTTCCATGAAACTCGGCATGCCGAACTTCCTCCATTGCCCTCAAGGAAGTCCCTGGCATTTCAGTGTTTCCGGGTCAGTGTGTGCGCAAAAGATTTCTGGTTTGCTCCTGTTACGATAGTTTGTATTCCGAAGTGACTCGCGCTGTCCTCACTCAGCACAGTAACCGGCAATTTGACTTGATATGCAACAGCGAGCCTGGTATACCTTGAGATGTGGCACAACTACCTCGTTGCAAATGGGCGATTCAGATACACGGAAAACCTTCGACACGGTAGGCCCTCGACACGGTGCATGCCGCATCCTTCGCGATTCAGAAGGACATTGCCGCGTCTCTGCCCATCACCTCTACACATCTTTTGACCGTGAAGGTCCCAGCTACTGCCAGTGATCCCGAGTACTTGATTCGCAAATACCACCAACACAGAGAGACGAGTTTCTGAGCTTCAAGAAAAAGCGCCCCCCCCCTTAAAAGTCGGATGTCGAGGTACTGTGTATGTACTGAGTGGTAGCCTGTTCCAGGAAGAGATAAAAGAGCATAGCTATGAAGCTCCATCCTGGATGGACATTACAATCGAGATCTCTGAGTCGCAGTCCGAGTCAGCAGATACGAGTCAAAGGACTGCCAACACTTCAGCCAACCTAGCGCTGCCTGCTTCCAGTGGAACCGCCAATAGCACCGCCTCGAGAAGAGAAATGCCGTGTATATCCAGCCTGAATATAGGTTGCTCTATGGTCTGGACTCAGATTGCTGGTTGGTATATTGCGGCCCTGGCTGCACGCCGGCTTGTTACTCGGTTACGAGCTAGGCATTGCGGACGGCTTGCCTCTACTGCCAGGGTCTGAGAAGCTGCATCTGCGACTGTTCAGAGCAGTTCGAATTGAGAGTTGAGGCGAAAATAGCCGGAGTTCTGATCGCGCCGTAGAGCCTGCAGTTTATTTATTGGGTGCAAGTGCTATCGATTGAGCTACCGAAGCCCAAGGACGCGACAACCAAGTCGCTCGGTCTGGCATAGCAGACCAACACAGTCAGAATGACAGCTGGCCGAGTAAACCTCCCACGGCCGTCACCTGAAGTATGCAGTGAAAAATATGTCCATGCTTGTCGTCTTCTGCATGAGATGGCTTGTTGTCGCGGGCTGATTAGTTGGGGCTCCAAGCTGACTTTCACCAAACACACCGTGCTTTTCCTGACATCAGTTGTTTGTGGCTATCAAGGTCTCCCTGTCATATGTACGTTTCTGCTACACAAGACTCAGCTGACCTTTTCCATGCACTTCGACGTCATCTTATTGGACTTCCTTTTGCTGCTTTGGGGTACTTCGATCGATATAAGCCCACACACCAATCCAGCGCCTAAATCTAGGTTTGCGTCTCATGTAAGGGTCAAACTGTGTTCTATACCAGAAGAGAATATATAAGGCACTCGATGTCCCATGTTTACTTCCTCACTTTCTCAGCATGTGTCAAAGGAGAAATAGCAAGCTGCTAATTCAGCTTGTAAAATACTGTACATAACTGGTGGTTATAACTAAGCATGGCGAGACAAGGCTTCTTTTCTCTGCTTCTTGCCATTCCTTTACTCGCCAACCGGGCACAGTCATCGAATCCGCAAACATGGGCTTCATTATCGAGTATCAGCGCCGCAACCTGGAACGCATTGAACGCGACTGTCGGCGGACGTCTCCACGAAGGCGCCCCGATGATGAGCCCGTGCTACCCATTCAGTCACGATCTAACCCAACCACTAGATGCAGCGCAGTGCACCGCTGAGCAAGAGCTTCTTCTCAACTCAACTCTGGCATCGAACGAGTTTCCTTGGTATCACAACGTCAGACACCACAACTACACATTCACAGCCGATCAGCCGATCATTTGTACTTTGCTAAGGTGTGGGAAATAGTCCGTCTGGTCCACCTGCCAAGCCACCGGCGCTTCATGCCCCATCTCTTCGTCTCTACCACCCAATACTACTTGCGAGCAAGGCAGTGTTTCTCCGCGATACGTGGAGGTGCGAGGAATAGAGGACGTTCAAGCCACCCTCAACTTCACCAGATCTCACGGACTCCGACTCGTCATCAAGAACACCGGTCATGATTACAAGGGTCGGAGCTCAGCGCCGGATTCTCTTGCGCTGTGGTGTGTTTCTTCTTTTCCTTTGCTGTCCCTGAGACAGGGGAATGTTGACTAGTTCTTAGGACGCATCCATACCAACCCCCCATCCAGCTCTTGAAAAACTTCACTCCAGAAGGCTGTTCGGCCCCGACGGGAGATGTGATCAAGTTCGGGGCGGGACAACAGTTCAAAGGCATCTATAACTTTGTGCATGCACGGGGATATCGGGTCGTGGGAGGAGGTTGCGATAGTGTCGGAGCCGCGGGCGGATGGATTACTGGTGGTGGGCATGGGCTGATGGCTAATGAACTTGGTAAGTGAAACCCTCGCACGTTCATCTGCAGTTCTGTTGCGCGCATGGGAGCTGACAGTGAGCCAGGTCTCGGGGTCGACAACGTCCAAGAAATCAAAGTCGTACTAGTCAACGGGACATATGCCACTGCGACTCGATGTCAGAATCCTGATCTGTTCTTCGCGCTGCGCGGTGGCGGCGGCGGGACCTTCGGCGTCGTGATGGAGATGAGCACCCTCGTCCATCCGGATCGACCAATGGAGGTCTTGAATGTTTCCTTGACCGGGTTGGATCCCTACTATTCCGCCGCAAAGGATTTCACATCCTTAATAATTGCGAATGCCGAGCGATGGGCTGCGGAGGGATGGGGTGGATTCCTGATTCCGGGTTCGGCAGACTACGCTTTGATCATAGCCACAGCTCTGCTGGACCATTCGGCCGCGATGGCGTCCGTGCAGCCGGTGCTGGACTTTGCTCGCCAGTTCAATACCTCGAGCGCAACCCTCTCCTCGGTTGCCGGGTTCCTCGACTTCATGGAACCCATCACCTCGAACCCTCTCGTACAAATGTCGGAGGTGTCCACCGCCGTCTCGTCGCGCATCATCCCACGAACGTCGTTCCAGAACACAAGGAGCCAGGCTCAGCTGGCTGAGCTTATAACCCAACTGGTGATCCTCAACGATACTCTACCAACACCCCCTGCACCTCAAGTAGCGGTTCTTCTCGTCGCGCCAGCGCTGTATTCGCAGAATCTACCAAAGGAGGATGAACCCTTCGGACCCGGGGCATCATCAGTCACGCCAGCATGGCGCAGTGGGCTTTGGCATCTCCTCCACATACGTGCCATTGACAGCAGCATGAGAGACCCAGAGCTCATACGACAAGTCTGGCAGAGTGTTTCCCACGCCATGGATCCTCTGCGGGAATTCACGCCCGATTCCGGTGCTTATCAAAACGAAGCCGACCCGTTTGAGCCGGACCCCATCGGTGCGTTCTGGGGCAAGGCAAACTATG